AATTATGTCCTTATGCAAGATATGTAAAAGTCATATGCATATGTCATAACTATACTTCATGCATCTTATTTAACATAATCAACCGTCCCGGAGTACGCTCTAGTCTAACAAAGTACTCTTGCAGAGTACCCAGGCTTGGGCAGGTCCCCAGGAAGCCGGGCAGTCATTTTAAATGGGTTTTCGGGTTGACCCGACAACCCATTGGGTCAACCCGAACCCGACCCATTTTTCAAAACGGTCAAATCCTAGAACCAGAACCCAACCGTTTTGGAAACGAGTCGGGTCTAATCCGAAATTTTCGGGTCGGATTTTCGTGTCGTGTCAAATATTCACACCCCCATATATATATATATATATATATATATAGTTCCCTTTTTTGTTTTCATCTGCAACTGTGGATATGTGATTAGCAATAATTAGGCAAAAAGTAGTATTTTCCCTTGAGTTAGGAGTGGAGTGCAAATAGTGCCGCACATACAGAACAATGGTAGAATTATACTTAACACCAAGATCCTCTATTGACAAAGGAGAGAAATTCTTTCCAAGTTCTCCCATGCTGAGATTACCTAATAGATTGAAGCTAACAGTATAAAAATATAATCATGGTTGCTTGAATGAATTTGCATATGCTTGGAATTTACTTAAAAAATCATAGATAAGAGCATGCACCTTGCCATTTAGCAATTTGTCTTTTACAATGGTATGCTTGGACTAATAAGTAAGGCAAACCATCAATTCTAATCTACATGTAAACATTTTTCTTGCTTGAAGAAGTATCAATATTCTCACCCCATTTATTTACCATGGTGGGCAATTCATCAAGCTTCATACAACCCTTTCTAATAAGAGATTTAAGAAGTTCAACATATTTGAACTTAATGAAAAAGATTCTAGGTTTGATAAATGTAGTTAAATGATGCTAGTTTCTGTTGCCATACCAATTTAGAGCTTCCTTAGGGCCTTCCCTTTTGACATCATAAACATATTAGAACAAAACGTAAGAACGGCTCATGATGATTACCTAACTCTTCTCTTGAAGAAGCGCAATAATATATCCTATTACTTTTTTTATTTGAAACCATAGCAAATGACTTCATTTCTATAGTTCTTAACAACATGCCACTTTTTGAAACATTTAGGAACAAAAATCTTCCTCTTGATGAATTTCTAGATTTAGTGATGAATGAATTGAAGAGTTTATTTGATTTTGAACTACCCAACAAAAGAGCTAGGAGAGCGAAGTGCTAACCTCCCTTCAACTCTCTCTTCTCCACTATTAAGGCAGATTGTGTCGGATCCTTGAAGTGCATTCATAAGAACTATGTTTGGCCTGCTGGAGTTATAATTCAACTCATCAAACTGCTTATTTTGCATGTGCTCCTTGATTATTGGGCTTTCATTTTAGTCTTCTACTTGTTATATCTAGAATTTGGTCATTTTTACTGCATTTGCATTTCAAATCATTTAACTTACAAGTTTATTATTGTGTATAAATATAGGTTAATGTTGTCAGCTTCAGAGAATAACTTACCTTTGCCTCCAGGAAATAGTGTTGAGGTTAGTGTCTCAAGGAAAGCTAAGAAGACTATGAAGCACAGGTACTTCTAATGGGATTCCTTCCATATATGATTTTTTTTTTTATTCTTAAATGCTTGAATATTTGTATATGTCTGTGTCAAATCTCACTTGGCCTTTTGAAATTAAAATTTTCCAAAAGCCAAATTGCTTACCATTTTGGATATGCAATGGAAGCATTGAAGCCTATTTTTTAATTTTAGAACATTTCGAGTATGGTCTCATCAAAGATATTTGGAAGTATGTTATACTAGTTACACATAGTTTTATAGTTATCATTGAAGGTTTTATATATTTAGTTTAGCTTATTTAGAGTGCCACATTTTTAATAATACTGGCTTATAGATGTGTAAAAAAGCGCGCTTTTCCTTTTTATTTCCATATAAATATTCCTATGGTTGCGCTCATTTATGCAGTGTTTGAATTACTTGATATTACTGTGCATATACATGCTTAAATGTGGATAGAGATATATAGGCATCTTTAGACTTGTATTCTACTATCATGTGTACCCATAACTATCCTTCCTTCGAAGCTGGGTAATATTCATCTAATTATATGCACCAGTGACATTGCCCTTTTTATAGAAATCAAAATAGTAATCAACTTTGAAGTGTACATACATGTTTCTCTTTTATGGATGATTTTCAATAATGAACAGTAATACTCATGTGTGTTTATGATTATTATATCTGTACGTGTTCTATTTTAAGCATCACTTTTTTCATGAAGTATTTGTAGTTGATTTTCATGTTTTTAATTTTTTGACTGTCAAAATTCACTATTATTTTATGATTATTAATTTATATTTACTCATGCTCCAGAATGAGTGCATGCCTTTTAGGTTACCACTTGATGTAGAATAGATAGTGAAGCAATGAATCTATCGCAAAATGAGTTTAAGAGGTAGAGATGTGGAAAGGCACTATGTTGGAAAGAAAAAAAAAATCAAAAGCAGTTGATATTAAATACTTGAAGCATCTAAATAAGTGTTGAACTGTTTGGGCATCCTTGAGACTTTGTTTAATAATAATTCCTTACTATGAAGTAATCTTAAAAAGATCCTTATGAAGGGCATCTGAACTTGGAAATTTTAAAATAACCTCGACAAATGGGCTAATGAATGATTTAATGAGAAACTCCTAGGCGATTCAAAACAAAAAGAAATAAAATATTGTCTTTGCCATCTTGGTGGTTGGATCGGACGAGGAAAGCTAGCTAGGTAGTGGTTGAGCTAGCTAGGTAGTGGCTGAGCAATAGAAGTCCTAGTTGTTCTTCATGGTTTACATTAGCCTTACAGGACATTTACTTTATTTTTCAATCTAAATTACTTTTCTAACAAATCAGGGAGCTGGATTTTCATCAGCAAATATTTGAATTGCTTAATGATGGAACCAAACTGTCATATTATTCACACGGAAAGGTATTGAGATAGTTAAGATTCATGTTCTTAAGTGGCATACTCTGTGTCATATAACTGATTCAACCGATTATGTCCATCATACAGGAAATTCTGGAAGGTTACAAGTTTGGAAAAAATATACTTTGCAGCTGTTGTAATTCTATGGTGATTTTCTCATCTCATATCTCCTATAAGCAAGAATCTACCAATATCAATTAGCTTAATGCTTTTTTATTTTCAGCTGAGTGCTTCTAAGTTTGAAGCTCACGCTGGGCATGAGAAAAGAAGAAAGCCGTGAGTTTTTAGAATTTGGTTTCAATGAGAGGGAATGTTCTTTAGTGTTTGATTAAGAGCTTTTCTTTTGTAGATACCACTCCATATACACTTCTTATGGCAAGTCCCTGCACCAGATTGCGATGTTTTTGTTACTTGATGATCTCAACAATAAAGATATGAGCATGACGGATAAAGCTGGGGGAAAATCATCCTTTACTTTAAGATGCCATAATGCCCATAATGCAGGTGATAATGTTTATATTCAAATTTATCCTACTTCATCTATGTGTTTGTATATTATTTAACATAAAATTGAGAATTTATGCGAACATATACTTGATGAAGGTGGTCAAAGTTCCAACACTTGTAGTCCATTTGGCTTTCAATTGGGGCGTATATTTCAGGCTCCTTGCAATTTAGGCTGTTGCACGATTTGCAGGCAAGTTTATTTTGATTTTGAACTTCTGTTGAATTTCATTAGATGTTTTTTGCACTTGTAATTTAAGCCTTTTGTTGTGCCCAGTGTTTTCAAAGCTGAAATTGAAATGTAATTTGTAAGGGTTCATTTTTGCTTCATTGTACAAAATGCAAAACGAACCGGAGCTTTTATTAATTGAAATGCTCATAAATTATATTAAATTAAAAATATAGTGACACATTAATTAACAAGTATAATATATAGAATATTTAATAGATGACTTAAAACTTGATATATAATAAATAAGAAATGTGATGTACAGCCCTGACTTGGAGACTAACCTTGAAATTGATCCGTAAAATTAAATTTCCAGTACGTTCTATTTTGCATGGAAATTAACAAATGATTAGTTATTAAAACTAGTGTAGTGGTTTGCTGTATAATTAGAAATTTCAAATTTACAGAAAAACATATTTAATTTATATTTTTTTTTTAAAATATTTGAAGTTTCAATTTTCATAAAGCAAGCTACAGAGAATTCATTAGTCATTATCCTCTTTTGCATTCACATAATCTCTTCTCCTTTAAGTGGAATTTCGCCATCTTCAAAATCTTCTTCTCCTCATGAGTCATTCTCATTTTATTTTTCGTGAGCAGTAAAAGATGAAGCAGATCAAGATGAATTAGTACTCATTGAGGATGAACCTCCTCTTATTTTTGACCTACTAAATCTTACAAGTTACCTTCAATCAATTTCTTTGATGCCTATTGAATTTGTCTCCAATTGAGATCTTCATTTCTAAACTATTGCTCACAAGTATCCTTCATTTCCCTAATTAACTACTTACAACTTTCATCAATAGAATCAAACTAATTAGATCAATAATATCTCTAAAATTAAATTTTTTTTAAGCTTTGTTGTTCTTAATGAACACTAAATTATTTAAATGCTTATCATTTAATCGATTTATCTTCTTTGTTTGAATCCATAAAAAAAGTAATAATGAAATGCATAGAACATGTGAATTATTTGGTATATATAAAATTAATAAATTATTAATCTTTTCGAAGACACTCTAGTTCTTTTCACATCTAGTGCACTGCAACTCAATCTTAAAATCTTAATAGCCTATTTTTGTAAAGTTGGGGTTGATGCACCATATGTTTTCTAGCACTCCATTGTATTAAAAATTTGAAATTATGATATAAATCCTAAAATCTTTAATCTACAAATAGATTTAAAATTATGTCCAATTTTCGATTGAGATTACCTGAATATTAATTATCTCTATTATAAATGGAAAATTTAGTTGCAGGTAGGCCGCTGGCATTATTATAAATAAAAAGTTCTTGATCTATGGCCCTTTTCTTCTTTCTGTCTCCCAGTAATTGGCCAATAATTGCATATAAACGTTTCATTAATTGTCCATTTGATTGTATTGTAGACTTATTCTTGGAAAATAACTTATGGTTAAGATAGTAGCTAGCTTGATGCAATGATTGTTGGAGTTGACAGCTCTATATCGCATCCATAATATGAAAACGTGCATATTTACCTCCAAATGCATCACTAATTGCATTATAACTGTAATCCATAGCTGTCCTCTTATCACTATCTATTAATATCATTTTCTTTATCAACAGGCTTGTAACCTTCAAGGCGTAGCTTACACCATATCAAAATATTATCTTGATCGCTTTCTTTCCTTTATAGTCAACACTGAATTTATATTTTTTCCAATATTCATACATTAATATATGTCGTTATTTTATTTTATATTATTTTTTATTTAAGTATGCTTGCAACAGTGAGAGAAGCAGTAGCAAAAAAAAATGATGTCTTGCCTCAATAATTTTGTACCACGTGTATTTTCTCATCATGTTTATTCCAAAGCTTTCTTGATAGTTCTTTTCATTTGATTGGTGTTCACAATATTTTTTCAACATCATATCTATGCAATAGGCTGCACATGATGTTCAATACTTGTATGTCCTCTTCTCTACTTTTGCATCAAGGAGTTCAGAGAGCTTCAATGCACTTTTTTGAATATTCAAATGTATCTGTGTACTGCAAGAATATTATATCAGATGGTGAATTAACCCAAAAAAAGTAACATATCATTCTCTATGATCAGTCCACCCATTTAACATAAGTGTGCACCCCTTCTTCTGCCAAAATTTGTTGTGATCCTCCACATTCTTCTTGCATTTTCTCTTACAATTAAAGCAATATATTTCATGTGATCAAATCTTTTTCAACTTCATTATGTTTGTTTCGTAGAGCCACTTAGCTACCTATTGTATAGTTCTATCCTTATCCCTCATCTAATTTTCTTTGATTTTCATTTGTTCTCATGTTTTTCCTTCTTGCAATCTCATTTTTAGTTTCTTAATGCATTTTCTTTGATCAATAAAGCTTTACATTTTATTTACATTGATGCTTCCTGTTCCAGAAGATGATTCAAAGGATCTCTTTTCACAATGCACGAGCATGTGAATATTTAATTTTTCAGTATTATCTATCACTATTATTATGTTCCATACATAAGTTTTATTCTAAATTTTTTTGGTCGTTGATAAACTAGCAGCTCCTCTCTTACATCCAAAGGCACATTCTTACATTAGCCATATTATTCCTTTTAGATGCTCCAAAAGTTATAAATGCTCCTTTACTCGAGATATACCTATGTTAGTCTCTTTACCACAATAAATGCATATGGTAGAAGAGTACTTGACTCAAATTTTAATATGTACTTCCGACTCATATCTTTCTCCTCACGTTTAGATTGACCATACCTAAATTATTAATAGAATGAACATGAATTAAATTTTTAAAAAATAAAAAATATGCTCTATATAATCTTTTTTAATGAAAATTATATAAATTCTCAATTTACTACGCAATTAATATAATTATGAAATTTAATAAAGATGAAAGAATTATAAATCAGATAAATAATTACATAAATATGAGAAATATTATTTTGCAAAATCTTATAAAATTATTTACTTCGACAAATGACATTTCATTAATTTAGTTTTTTCTATATTTATTTTTTTTGCAATTATAAATGTCATTAGATTGGGGATTATTTTAATATAAAAGCACATGACAAAAATACTTGTTATAATTTTTTAATTAGAAATTTGATAGATTTTTTATGTAATTATACTTTTTTTAAGAATTCAATAAACTAAAATTAGATTGATGTGCGAAAGAGAAATTATCTCGATTAAAAAATAAACTAATGTTTTGGACTGGCCGACTAGGAAGAAGGTTGATATTGGGACGTGATTGTTGATTAGTAGTTGCATGACCAAAAGATATCAAGGAGTTTAGGGAAGAAATTTCATGCTGGGTTGCAAGCAATTAAATGCTTCGTTGTAAAGAGTTGTGGGTGGAAAGTTCTATAGGTGTTGTGGGATGTGATTGTAGATTGTAGTAAGGACTCATGGGAGGAAGAAGCACTACAACTACTATGATTAGAGCTCTCAAAATTTGAATGAATGGGTTCGGGAAATTATGGTTTGTATAACTTAAAATTATCAATCGAATCGGTGTCTCCCTTAAACTGAACTAGATGCAAAATTGTATCACTGAGTGCTTCACATGAGTGATTAAGTACACCACCGAGCGAAGTGGATGTTTCACTAACACACATTGTGCGAGAAAGAAGTGATGCGATGGACTTTTGCTTTGTAGCGCATTGCTTCCATAGCGTGCTTTTAGTAACCTAGGTTGCATCCTCCCTTGAATTATTTTGATTGCGATATTATGTAGATTTCTTTAAAAATTTCCATATGGACCATAGGATTTTAATTTCTATTTAGTGAATGTCGTCTTTCAGAGAGGAAATTTAGAAGCCTATTGCTATGAATGCCTATCTATTATTTCTAATGCTTGCACTATATTTGGAATGATGTGATAATTTCACAAGATATTTATTGAATGTTATTCAATGTGAAGTCTTCTTGTGGAGGAATAATTCATGTAGTTATTGGAACAAATTTTTTAAGTACCAAGAGGGTTTTAGAGTTTCTTGTCAAGTTTAAGTTGTTTTTCCAAGCTATAGATTTATGGTGGCAAGCTGTAGAGATATTGTGGCTAGTTCACAGAATTTTCAGATCATACATGCTTGCACTATATCATATATACATATATTATGTAAGAAAGAAAAAGAAAAATAGAGAAAAAAAAAACATATATTATGTAGATACAACAGTTTTTTAGTTAATCAAATGTAAATGACGTCATATGATAATTGTTAGCAAATATAATAATACATTAATGATAGTAATTTCAATATACTCAAAATCCCTAAAAAAGTATCAATTATATAAATGATTTTTAACTAAAACAATGTAACAATATACTTAAAACTAAAAAATATACTTATGAGAATATGAGATTGACGGACTAGCTAGAGATTGGGAGGTGGAGTAAGTGTGAAGCAAGAGAGTATGAAGATGAGACAAAAAAGTATTCTCAGGAATAATCTTGTGAGTGCCAAGTTACTAGCATCAATAATAAGAACCGGTGAAGTGGAGTGAGCGTGAAGAGAATAATCTAGCGGGAGAAAATGAAGAACAAATATGCGAAGACTTAGGGTTCGTGGGATAGCTTTCTTAATGCTTTCTAAAACAGTGTTTGAGTAAAAAAAATTTTTGAATTAGAATTTTTTGTACCAACAAGTTGTTTTAGAAAGCAATGAAAAAGTTGTCCCAAACGAAACCTTAATTACTATGAGAAACAGTTGGCAAAAGTAAACAATGATGCTGACTTTTTGTTGTAGATGTTTAATCAAACAATGAAATATGAACTAGAATTTGGCTTTGAGCTGGAGTCGAACACTATGATGCGACGCATCGAAACAATGCGACATGTGTACTTTGCTGGAAGACTACGCTTTACAAGCAAGTGATGCACAAGCTTAGTGCATTGCTTTGCTTCACTTTTAAAGACCATTTTGAAACTCGCTTTTAACAAGCCTGAGGGAGTTTTTTAGCCTGTGTATTTGCCCAAGCTTATTGTTCTACCAAATATATATTTTTTAGCATGAATAATTGTTTTGTCTTATGAATTTAAGAATTAGAAGTTAAACCATAGAAGAATTTTATATTATTTTGATAATTGTTTGTGTTTCTTTTTTTGATTTCCCTTGCAGAGTTATCCGCGTGAGGATCAATTATCTTTTATTCTCCAAAAATTATGCCATAAAAGATAGATATGTAATAAACTATGCATAAAGCAATGATCCAAATCTTGCTCGGTGAAGTAATTTTGTATGATTAAACATGAAAATGAGCAATTGGTAATATCCATTTTGGCAGCTCCAAGTTGACAAGAAAGTCATAGAACGTGACAGCTTATAAATAGGTACACATAATGACAAGCTAGAAAAGAAGTCATAATTTAAAAAGATTACATAAATTTATGACTAACAAACGTTATCTGCAATAGTCATAATAAGAATGAAAATAATCAATAATATGATTTTCAAGGCCATGGGAAATAGGAAAGAAATTGTTTATAATAAACATGACAAATAATCATAAATACTTATGTAGAACTATATATGATTTAAATGAATGTAATAAAAATTTTCATGCTTTCAAGTAAGAGCAATAAGAATTAAAATGTTAGCCACTTAACGATAATAGAAAATAAAAGAGATGTGCTTCCGCTTAGGCCAAATCACATGCTAATTGTTAGGATCATCAAAACAATTAGAATTTCAACATAAGCAAATTTAGTGGATTTTCAATAACATCACTAGATTAACAATGAGAATAGGAGCATAGAAAATCATAACTCATTCCCTACGTTTACTAAGCTTTTACAGATAGCTTTGCACGATTCCCTGTGCCTGATTCACAACCTATAAGAGAAGAAGATTAGGGAGGAAATTGAAGAGGAAGAGTTCACCCTCGTCGAGGCTCGGCGATGATTTGCCATTGAACGATGGAAAGCTGCTCTTCGATGGCTTTATACAGGGTGAAGATGATATGCTCCATGTACTCCTCGGCGGAATTGTCTACTTCTGGATTGACGTCGAAGAAAGGCGACCAGAGGATGTCGACGAAGCCTTGCTCGTTGTAGACGAAGCCGGAGTCAAGATCAGGATCAGCCATGCATCGATTTCGTAGTGCTGAAGTGTTGTAGACGATGTCCTTTGCGATCCTTAGGGATTCCCCTTGAGGGAAAGAAGTTTCTCTAAGAATCCAAGTGGAAGAAAGGGTGAGAGGGTGGCTGGCCAAAGGAAGGGGCTTGGGGGAGAATTCGGTTCAGATTTTTGGGGAGGGAGGATGGAGGGAAATAAGAAATTATTTTCCTAGTTAATACTTTAATTTGGAAAGGATTTAAAGGTGATTTGGAAAGAGGGAGGGGGCGGGTAAGAAAGAGGGAGAAGCTTTGAATTCTTTCCAAAGAGAGAGGTTTGAAGTTTGGAAAGTATTCAAGTGGGGCAAGGAGGGGGCCGGTGGCATAGGGAGAGGGCTTGGGGAAATAAGGATTTTATTACTTACTTAATGGGGATTCTCAAATTAAGGAATAGGATTTAATTCCAATCTAATTCAAATTTAATTTGGATTTGATTTTAGAAATTTTCCTAAAATAGGATTCTATTTTAGGAAATATTTCAAAATTCAAATTTGATTTGAATAATTGAAATTGAAAAGCTTTCCCAAAAGAGACTAAGTAAGAAAGGAAAGCAATGATGAGGAATTTGAAAATTTGGAGGCAAGGGGAAAGGGAGAGGCCGGCGGTTAGGCTAGGGTTTGGATTAGGGTTAGGTGGAGGTGGAGGAATTAAGTGGATAAACCAATCAAGGGGTGAACCATCTTGGATGGCCGGCGGCTAGGTGGAGTGTGGAGGGGTCTTGGCCGGTGGTGGAGCTTTGCCCTGAAGTGGTGGCCGGTGGTTGTGGGATTTGGATGGACCGTGGGGTGGAGAGGACGGGAGGGAGAAAGAGGAGGAAGAAATAAGAAGAAACTAGCCACGAACCTGGACTCTTCGAAGGTTAGTGGGTGATCTGCTTCCCTCTCCTAGGTATCTCTCTCCAAAGACTCTCAAGCTTTCACAAGAACTCAATTTGCAGGAATTTGATTATAATTCATTCATTCCTTAACTTCAAAAGAAACATATGGGGCTTATATATAGCCTCCTACAATGAAAGAGAAATAAAAGACGGCATTGCCCCTAGGGCTTACATATGACAAAACCCTTACAGGCAAAACAGGAAATGCTACTAAAACAAATACATAAAGCAAATAAATAAAACAAATACATATGAAGACTCAAAAATAGATCGGCACGATCATGGTCGTAGATCGTCAGCCACGTCTCTAATATACTTTCCATGATCTGATGTCCCCTTCAAATACTAAATAATATAATATGATATCATGATAATTTCATACAAAAGAAGCTACTGCTTGCTTTGACATGAAATGTGCAAACACAACTCGAATCTAATAGGTGGTATTTACCAAGGTTTTAAAAGGCGAAATCGGGAATCGAGGCGTTTTTTCTAAGCGAGGCGAGGCGTAAGCCTCGAGGCGGATCGAGGTGTAAGCCTCAAAATGAATAAAATAAATTAATTTAAAACTATAAATAATGACAAAAAATAACAAAATATTATGTCAACTATGAATTTGAAGATTTGTTTCAGGAAAATATTACTGGAATACAAGATATAAAATAAACTCACTTAAAAATAAAACATTCCCTTGGGATCAAGACCCAAAGCAGGCTCATCATCACTTTGATTGTCTTCAGAATCTTCATAATTAATGTCAAAGTCATCCTCAAACTCTTCTTCATCTATAATATTTTTTCCTTTATCTCCTATATCAATTAATATTTCATTAGCTCTAAAATGAAACAATAGTAACATACAAAATAATTCATTATATTTAAGAATACCTTTGATTTTTTTCGAAGCTTCAATCTCACTTGGTTTCTTTCTTTTATATACTTGGGTAGTTGCTTCATTGTCTTCTTCATTGACATGAGTTTCTCCTTCTGCTTCAACTTCAAAAACATCAGCATTCTTAGGAGTAACCCATTCATCATCAGATTGTAACTCATCAACAAGCAAAGGGTCAATTTCATTCTCAATATTTCCTTGATTCTGCAATTTGAGATATCTATCTTTTAATTTTTTGTTAAACATAACATAAACTAGTTTGTTCATTCGATCTGCCGCCAATCGATTTCTTCTCTTTGTATGAATTTGATTGAAGATGCTCCAATTACGCTCGCATGCAGAAGCCGAACACGTTAGGCTAAGAACTTTAACTGCAAAAGCTTTCAATTCAGGAACATCATCTCCAAACTGAGCCCACCAACGTTCTACATGAAGACAAACATAGTATTTTATGAATATTGGTTGAAGTACAAGAGTTGAACATAAATATTAACATTAAAATTATAAATACACAAATTATAAACATACCAGGAGATCGTGTTTTGAAGCATGCTTGTGCTGCTCTAAATCCAAACATTCCCTTCTTCAAATGAAAATCCTCAAGTTGATCATTAACTTTGAGGTAGTTTCTTTAGAAATGAGTCTATCCATACATGCATACAAACCAGTTTTCACCTCTTTGTCAACATGAAAATCTTTATCATAATGAAATTGGGGATTTAAATAGTACGCAGCAGCATGTAAGTGTTGGTGTAATTGTCGATCCCACTTTTCATCTATAATATCCTATATTTCTTTGTAGGCACTTTCTTGACCTCCCAATTCTTTTGCAATGTCTTCTTTAGCCCTATTCATTGCTTCATAAATAAATCCCATAGCCGGGGCCCTCTCACCATCAACCATTCTAAGCACCTTAACTAATGGTCCTGTTGTCTTCAAAGCATAATTTGTACTCCGCCAAAATGAATCGTCTTTCATGACAATCTTTTTAACCTGTTTTCCTTCTTGTTTTTTGGCCCATGAACTTCTATCCCACTCTTCAGAAGCAAACATTGCTTCTAAAGGTTGTCTTAACTCCTTGAATCTCTGCAATGTTAAATATGCAGTAGCAAATCTTGTAACAGCAGGTCTAATAATTTC